AATAACAAGAGTAGGTTAAGTCAAAATGGTTGGCCTGAGTCATTAATTCAACTGAAAATGTTAAAAGTTCACACATAAAATCCACATAATACAACGTTTGCATTTAAAAATCACCTAAGTTAACAGTCCCAAAAGGTGAAGCCAATTGTGATTGGGATTTTAAAGATGATTGCCTTTTGCTTGACACCATATGAGCTTTGGATTTTGATGAGGATCCATATTTTGGTAGAGGAAAAGATGATTTTGATGGCACTGGTGATCCACATGTCAACCTTGTATGACCACTTTCCTTGCACCGACTACATGTCGATCTCTTATTCTCTTCACCCTTAGACGGTATACGATCGTGACTTTTTGGTCGGCCAGGTAGCCTTCTGTCCATGGCTGGTGGCAAAACTGTTTGTAAGTCATCTGGTATGTCCCACTCAGAAGGATGTGGAATAGGGTAGACAATCTCGACATAAGTCTGTCGATAAACTTCTGTAGTGTAGCAATCCATAGCGTATGCGCTTGAATCATCTTGGTTTAAATGAAGAGCAACTTTTATAACATGGCCACACGGATAACCAGATGTTTGCCATTTCATACAACTACACGTCTTTGCATTTAGATCGACTAGCCCATTTAAGTTATTATCCAGTACTTGAAACAAAGTGTTTGAACATGGTTCAACTCTCCATGACGTTGACTTCACAACACGTTTCGTTATCTTTTTTTCAGTCCATGGTGTAACACGATGTTCCAATGTTCCTGTAAATTTAAATAAACAATACTTAGTAAAATATATAAATATGATAAGTTACGAATTCAAAGAAATAATACTTGCATGGTTTCTTTTCTTGTAGTACCACTGTTGAATAGAGGCTCGAAAAAACTCCATTAACATAGTAATGGGTAATTTTCGGGAATGACGACTTAGAGCGTTGATTGATTCTGCACTATTAGACGTCATGAAACCATATCTTGCTCCAAGTTGATGTACTCTTGACCATCTTTCAAACCCGACATCTTCTAGTGTTTGAGCACACTGAGGCAAAACACGTCTTAAACAATTTATATGCTTATTGAAATCCACTTCCCGATAAGCTTTTACAGCCTTCCAGTATGTCCATTTGTGCTTTTTTATACCAGCAGACCTTGATTTTAGATTTCTATACAAATGAACACCACAAAGTCCATGAAAAGCATCTGGGAAACACCTTCTAACAGCGTTGTCAATTGAGTTTGCCCTATCGGATATGATTGTTAGATTGCTAATAGGACCTATGCAATCCCTAAGATGCCCCATAAACCATGTCCATGAATCAGATGTTTCAGATTTGCCAACCCCGTAACTATTGGCAATATCCCATTGTTAGCATCCATGGCTACTGCTAATAAGTTTACTCCAAGGTATCGACCTTTCAAATGTGCTCCGTCAACTATAATAACTGGGCGCATGCAAGTAATAAACGAACGAATCTACAAAATAATATACACAAGAAATATAATCATTTAAATGTGAAATGCATGTAACTAACAAAAATGAGTCAACAAAATTATATTGATTTACTAACCGTAGCACCAATGGCGATAAACAGCAACTCAAAGCGTCCATCTCTATCTGTTTTGATATGAGTTACCGACCCAGGATTTTTCAGCTTTAAATTGTGACAATAAGCCGGCAGTTGGGCAAACGATGCTTCTGGCGACCCCCTCAACAATTCCAAGGCATAACATTTGGCTCTCCAAGCTTGAGAATATGATATACTAATCTTGAACCGAGCATTCATGTCAGTCATAATTTCATGTCCCCGATATACCCTGCCATTCAAAAACATTAACTCAGCCAGAAAACCACCCAACACCTTTTTGTTTGCCTATCTATGGTGAGGAAAAACTTGGGTTCTTGAACATGTATGTTTATCAATAAAAGTCCTAACTTGAAACATTTCGCAATCTTTTATTCTCTTTGCAATCATACGCCACGTACAGTTTTTGTCAATCATACACCTTGTTTCGAAACGATCTTTGTTTGATTTGTTAACTTTTAGTTGATAGCCATCTTCCACACATTTCGTATACAAAGCTATCTTCAAGTCTTCCTTTGTATCAAAACAATCATCTTTCATGATACGAATAACTTTTGTGTAACAATCAACTGCTTTCTTTACCAACTCTTCTTCCGGTATCTGAAGTAATTCTGGCATATTCCAGTTATACGCCCGTGGCATTTTCTTTTCTTCGGGGACTTTTTCTTTTTCTTCTTCAGGATTATATGAATTACAGAATGGATGTTCAACATGTTCATTCACAGTCGTAACTTCCTCCTCATTATCATCAACAATACATTCTTCGGCAACGGCTGTTTCATCATCAAAATTCGGGTATTGACCAATATCAAAATCATTACACGCAGGGTCTGTTTCTTCTTCTGAAACATCATCAAAATCCGTGTATTGACCAATATCAAAGTCCGGATATTGACCAAGACCAAATTTCGAATACTGACTAGTACTCACAATTTTTTCTGTTGGCTCATCATCGTCTAACTGGTCAATACGAAAACCGGAATTTGGTGCTGAAAGTTGATTGGGATTTGGATTAGAGAAAGGTTGTGGGTTTTGAGAAAAACTTAGTTGATTACTACCCGCTACTGACCCAACAATACTACTTCTAGGTTCAACAACATACAATGTAACATCATCTTGTGAAACACTAATGTAAGCAATGAATCGTTCAACATCTTCATTGTCGGTTAACAAATAAACTTTACCATTTCTCTGATAAGATAGCCTAAATCCACTTAGGGGCTCTAAATTCAATTTATTTGAAACACGTAGCATTAGAGTTTCATAAGTTAACTTTTGTAAAGACAATTTTAGCTGAAGATTCATGGGTAAAGGCATATATTGTAAAACACCATGATCATTATCCCATGACCCTCCAAAACACAAATCTATCCAAACATGATCAACATTAGATGATTTCATGGTTGTAAATTAATTTACTAAACAGACGAGCTGCGAAACTAAAACCTGTTGCCGGATTGGGAAGGATGTCGTTGGATATAGGAACGGATGTCGCCGGAGAGAGTGATAGATGGAGATGTAATGAGTTGCGATTTAGGGATTTAGTTTATGATTTGCTGCTGTTTCGTAGTTATATACCCAAAATTTCAGTGTTGTGATTTACAGATTCTCGTTGCGATTTACGGATTATCGTTGCGATTTACAGATTCTCGTTGCGATTTACGGATTATCGTTGCGATTTACGGATACGCGTTGCGATATACGGATACGCATTGCGATTTACGGATACGCGTTGCGATTTACGGATATACGTTGCGATTTACGGATACGCGTTGCGATTTATGTGTTCGCGTTGCGATTTTCATATTCGTGTTGCGATTCTGGAAAATCGCAATGCGAATTTGTACTATCGCATTGCGATTTTCAAGAATCGCGTTGCGATTTTGGAAACTGATTTGCGATTCTGGGGATCGCGTTGCGATTTTTATTTCGCGTTACGATTTTGTTGGTCATTTTGGCAAATCCAAAAAAAGTTGGTTAAAATCGTATATTATAAGGCATTTTTGGTCACTGAGGCGATTTTCTCTTTATGTTTAGGGAGTATTTTTTTTATTGATACACTTGATTTTTTTTTAAATAATCGAGTTAAGTGCACTATAGGTGCTTAATGAGTTGAACAACTTGAACTTGACTCAGTCAAAACTTAGTAAAAGTTCGATTCGGGTTGACTCGACTCGAAACTTTAACGAGTTTAGTCGAGCAAAGTCCAACTCGACTTGATAAGTTAGATTAAAATGTTATTTCTTTAAAAAAAATTACAAATTTACTAATTATTAAAAATAATTAAAATACTAAATTATTAATTAATAATTATTATTTTATTGCACCCAATAATCAAACCCTAATTATTATTTTATTGTATTTTTTATTGTTATTTTGATGTTTAGACTTTGAATTTGTTTTATACACTCTTTTGATAAATTTTGATTAAATTTATTAACTTATGTTTATATTAATTTCTATATAGTATTAGTAGATTTTACTTATATTTAAAAAATGAAATAAAAAATTCGATGAGTTTAACTACCAATGAGCTTAACGAGCAGCGAGTCGAGAAACAAATTTTCTTGACAAGCACGAGTCGAGCAACAAATTTTCTTAACGAGCACGAGTCGAGAAAAATTTTAACGAGCTTAATGAACAATGAGTCGAGTCGAGCAACAAAATTTTTTAACGAGCAAAAGTTGAGCACTGCTTAACTCGCGATCAACTCGCTCGATAAGCACCCCTAAATTGCACCATATATCCCCAAACTATGATTCTCATTTCCAATTACATCCTCAAACTATGACTCTCATTCTAAATTAGTCCTTGAACTTTTGAACATTCCAATTTCATCCCAAACTATGAATCTCATTCTAAATTGGTCCATAAACTTTCAGATCTTCCACCAAATTCATCCAAATATGTAATCCCATTTCAACCATAGTTTAACCTATTTTTTTTTCCAAACATATAATAATATAACTAAGCCTAATGATTTTCTTAACAAAAGATGTGACGAGTATATACATATAATTTATGATAAAATTAAAATATAAAAAAATTTTGGGGACCAATTTAGAATGAAGATCACAGTTTGGGATGAAAATGAAATGTTTAATAGTTTGAGGACTGATTTAAAATGATAGTCATATTTTAAGGATAAAATTGAAATGTTTAAAAGTTTAGGGACCAATTTAAAATGAAGGTCATACATTGGGGACGTACGATGCAATTAACTCAAAATAATTTACTATTTTTAATTAAAATATTTTTAAATTTAATTTTAATTATAGTTATTTATTTGTACAAATAAAATGAAATTCCAATATACTCTTATAAGTTCGTACAATAAATATTTTATATAAAAATATATTTGTAAATATTAATATAATAAATTATTATAAATGAGTTTAAAATGAATTCTATGAGAATTTATTATACAAAAATTACATATTGCTGTGTACAAATCAAGTAGAAAATGAATGCACTGTTTTACAAATGCCTGTAATTTGCAGATCAACAACAATTCATTAAGCTAGAAACATGTGCAGTGTGGAACATGATGAGAGGTCGATGAACAGTGACACGAACAACGTCGGGTGCATACGTCACTCGCTCGTATTATGACATATACGTGAAGTGTCGGAATTTATACGACGGAGTAGTTCGGTCTCCGGCTCTGCTCGAGAGATATCTGCATGGTAATATGGCATGTCCAAACATGTGATGAATGATGATAGTCTTAAGACTTCTGCTTCTCATGCGAAGTTTGATAGATTACCAGAAGAAGATCTTCGTCTGTCCCAAAGGACTTGCGTGCTTCTTCGAGATGCTCCGATGAGACCCTCTCGTGTTTCCTGCACATTGTCGTTCTCGAGTTAATGTTTCGAACAGAAACTCGACTTGTGGATTACATGACATACGCATTAGGTTGTAGTACCTAGAACATGCAGGATCTGGAATCTCGAACACGTCTGTCTCAGCATCATAGCCACATATCACGACATAGTGACCTACAAAGAACGACTTCCTTAACAACTAGACACCCGACGTAGGACGATCGTAAAGGTTGCGACAATGTACCGAGCAAGGACGAGACCGTTCATTAACCGAATCATATTTGGGCTTCCAAGCAATATCGGTGAAAATTTTATGGGCCAAGTTGTTAATACAAGCTTGTGACAATGTACCAAGCAAGGGAGAGCTATGCAAATGCCATGGTCAAATTATCCAACCAACATCAGCATAATACGATTATCAGAATGATACGTATTCGCATGTCAGCATTCGGATTCGTATTTTCAACTTGTATATCAAAAACGACGTTATAAAAGCGTGCGATACTCACCAGCGTATTCTACGTCGTTTCCGTGAAATCCGGGGATGATGACATCCTCCATCCAAGACTGACTGCAATGCAAGATTTTGACAGTAGAATTCAGCACTACGACATCATCCCCATATAAGAAATCACTATCATGCAAGAAACTAACTCATATGATACCGGCTAAAATACGAAACACCGGTTATACGAAAAATACAGCGGAAGTTGGTACAATAACGATTAACAGAGAATACATACCTCAATTTATACTGATCAACTAAAGCAATTGCTATATACTTCCCCGACAAGATCCAGCGAGAGAGTTCTTCGCCAGTGATTGACCTGCACTGTAAATGGGACAGTTCATTACCCCAAGAAAAAGTTTAACCTTGACACAGCAAAGGACGGTAAAACGAGCTAAAATTTTCATCAGCAACAAGGATCATATCTTCAAATGAAGCATTCAACAGAGATCGAAAAAAACCGAACCATGAATATGAAAAGAAAGAATCCAATCCAACTGTTTATCTTCTTTCATATGGAATCAAACCACCGGCTATTAACATTTTAAAGGGAAAAAATATCGCTACATCGATCGAAATGCTGTCAGGATTTAATGTTCCACTGAATACCCCTATTTCGATTCCTGCTTCCACGGCTTTTTTGAATAGCGTATCTACTCGAACCAGATCAGTAGGCAGTTGCTCCTGAAGAATTCTCAAAGTTAATGGAAAATCACATAATGGCTATTTAAGAAGTTAATAAAGAAGGAATATTGATTAACCTATATAATGTACATCATACAAGTCATGGTGCAGAGCTTGAAAGAATAAACAAGAATGCTAACACGGAATTGCTCGCGAATTCACAACCAATCGAAAAGCCCTTAGAACTGGCACAAACTGATTACAAAAATGCACAAGGTGCAAAGATAAATGACCTTATAATACGTCTCGTCAGAGTAGTTCGGGTTGGCTCCAAATGTTAGGGTATAATAGAAAAATCTAACCGAAAACCTCTGCAGCAAGTAAGCCGGATCTACAGTCCAAATGCTGCATTCAAAACGTAAGCAATAATATTCATCAGAAATGAAATGGTAAGAACGTACGTTGGTTCGATTTTCATACAATTCTTCTCGTAACAGACGGAACTTTGCCGACACCGACACCCCGTAACAACAACGTACCTAATTGTGCAGCAAAGCTCAGCCAACTTCTCGTTACCGCAATCATCGAGACCGACAGTAGCCAAAGCCATCGAAACACAGGCAAGTCCACAATCACAAGAGAACAATTGGTTTACATGTGGAACCTACAAATCACAATCACAGCTTTACAGACCCTATCCATGAAACCATATGCAATATAGACTTGATACACAAGGCAAAACAAAAAAATACCCCATTAATTTCACTCACTTGAACAAAATGCGATCGGGGCAACATCGACCCCTCGTGGCTAATCCGACTACCAGATGATAGATCGAAACGGAGGAACTGTGCTGCCACATTCATGCATTCCTCATCATTTCCTTCATCATCTTCATCTGTTTTAAGAATCTTATTTAACAGAAAATATAAAGGCCACATCAGGTGATGCCTCTCTTGATTAAATTACAAAATAATGCCACTCAGAGCATTTATTTAATTAGTTATAACAACCTTAACCGTCAATTCTTCTTCCTCTCCACAGTTTTTTTCCTGTAGAAAACATAAATTTGGTCGAAATTATGAATTTCAAGGGAATTTTTCTCTACAAACACCGCAAATTTGGTCAAAATTAGCCTTCTTGGCATCAAAATTCAACCTTTTTGAACCTATACACAATCTGACTACACAGGGAAATGAAGATTTCTGGGCACTAAATTGATTGGTCAGCAAATAGATTCAAGAGAAAAACAGCTTAAATTGATTGGGGAAAAAGGAAGAGAATCAATATGCTTCAAAAAGGTCAAACAAAAACGTAATTAAATTCTTAAATTCTCATCTAAAACATGAACAACCTGGGTAAAAAGCTAAACTTTGAAAAAGATTACCAGTGGTTCACAGAATGTAAGATTACCAGTAGGAATAAAAGATTACCAGTGTGAACAAAAGATTATCAGTGGGAATAAAAGATTACCAATGAGAATAAAAGATTATCAGAGAATATGATTACTAGGAATGTTGTATTTTGTGTTTGGTTGATTTAGCATGAATGTAAAATTACCGTATTTGGTTAAAGGAATAAAATATTTTTGTAATGTATATTTGACCCCTTATTATATATTTGTATAATATTACAAGTTGGAAAATATTTATATATTTTCTTTAAAAAATTTAAATTCATTATATTTATATAATTTTTTTACAAAATTAAAATATAAAAAAGGTTTAATGAAAGAGTAAAATTTTATTTTAATCCCTGAACTTCATATAAAATTTTAATTATAGATTTTTTTTTTGTAAATCTAAAATAGTTTAAGGATAAATTTGTAATTTAACCTTTGTAGAATTTTTATTATTCAATAAAAGAAGAATATTTTTGAAAAAAAAATAAAATTTAAGGGCATTTTAGTCCAAAACGTCGGTAATGTTACAATACCTAAGGGAAGGAAGGTAATGACATTCCCTGTAATATACAAAAAAAATTCACTATTGGTAATAAAACATTACCGGGAATGACATTCCCGGCCAAATCAAACAGGGGAATTTGGATTCCATTCCCGGGAGAATCCAACATTCCCCATCCAAACAGGTACGTTTGGTTCACGGAATGTAAGATTACCAGTAGGAATAAAAGATTACCAGAGAATAAGATTACTGGAATTGTATTTTGTGTTTGGTTGGTTTAGCAAGAATGTAAAATTATCGTGTTTGGTTAAAAGAATAAAAGATTATTGGAATGTATATTTTACCAAATTGTCCTTATTATATATTTGTTTTTTTAACAAATTGAAAAATATTTATATATTTTCTTTAAAAAATTAAATTCATAAAATTTATATAATTTTTTTACAAAATTGAAAATATAAAAAGGTTTAATGAAATAGTAAATTTTTATTTTAACCCCTGAACTTCATATAAAATTTTAATTATAGATTTTTTTGTACATCTAAAATAGTTTAAGGATAAATTTATAATTTAACCTTCGTAGAATTTTTATTATTCAATGACAGAATAAATTTTTTGAAAGAATTTTTTTTAAGGGCATTTTAGTCCAAAACGCTGGTAATCCAACAATATCTAAGGAAAGGGAGGTAATGACATTCCCGATAATATACCCCAAAAAATTCACTATTGATAATGTAAGATTACCGGGAATGACATTCTCGGCCAATCAAATGAAAATGTAGATTCATTCCCATGAGAATCTCACATTCTCCAACCAAACACACAAAGTCGCAAGTTGAGATCAGGTCTAAAGAGTCCAACTTTACTGACGAAACGACACCGTACTGCTGGCACAGACCCACCTCCTCTTCTGATTTTTTTCAATTGATTGTTCTGAACGAATTCTCTACTCACAAAACTGAAAGCGAAAGATTTTTTTTTCTTTCAAAATGAACAATAAAAAAATCCATTTTTTTAATTTCGTTTTTTATTGTATTTTTAAAGAGAGACGTTATCCCATGGCACGTACCATCTCTTCATCTCTCCCACAGTTCAAAAATCAAATCTTTCAACTCTCCCACCCTCCTTTGCACCTCAAAGACTCATCCTTTAAATCCCAATCCTTTGTTTTTGTTTATGTTTCTTTGGTGATAAGAAACAAAGGGTTTTCAAATATGGAGCCATTGTTGAAGAAGAAAGATGGCTGGACTGAGTCAGGGAGTGCAACCGAGCTGCGTAACTGCAATGGTGGTGAGTCTAAAACGAGCAGCACTACGAGTAGTAATTCAAGTGGATCAAATTCAGGGAAAAAAGGGTCTGTTTTTGGTTCACCTACTCTTTTGGGTTGGCCTATAAGGAGAGCCATCACTGCAACTCCTTCAGTGTCAAAGGATGTCTCTAATGGAGATGGAATTGAAGAAGTTAGTAATGAAGATGACAAGTCCAAAAAATTGGGTTCAAAGATCAATGGTTTGTGTTCAAATTATTTGGTTTTTGGTTTCTTAGACTAAAAGTTTGATTTTTTTTCTTGTCTAATTCTTCTTCTTCTTCTTTTTGGGGGATTTTTAGAGATTGATTTGATGAAGGAAAGGTTTGCAAAGTTGTTACTTGGTGAAGATATGTCAGGTTCAGGCAAAGGGGTTTGCACAGCTTTGGCTATTTCAAACGCCATTACCAATCTTTGTGGTATATTATGAAATTATGGATTTTTTTGGGTTGAAATTTGTTTTTTTTTGTTTATCTATGAGCTTAAATTGGGAAAATACTATTTGCAGCTACTATTATCGGGCAATTATGGAGATTGGAGCCTATTTCTGAAGAGAAGAAATCCATGTGGAAAAGAGAGATGGAGTGGCTTGTTTGTGTTAGTGACCACATTGTTGAGTTCATACCTTCTTGGCAAAATTTCCCAGATGGAAGCAAGCTTGAGGTGATTCTCATCTTTGATCCTGTTTGTTTACTGAGAAAATCATGAGGGAAAAAAGACTTCTTTTGGATGGTGATCAATTGGGGTGGTTTGCTGTTTTTAGCTATGAAACTCAACTAATTTGAAGTTTCTTGTGTTTTTAACTGTTTATTCTGTGATTTCCCTTAGGTGATGACTTGCAGGCCTAGATCAGATCTTTTCATTAATCTCGCGGGGCTTCGAAAACTCGATAACATGCTCCTGGTAGGAACTTACAGTGGTTGATTTATGATTCATGGTTGTGTTAATCTTGGGGGAAAGTTCATGTTTTCAACTGTATAATCTGGCCCTTGCTGGTGCAGGATATACTAGATAGTTTCACAAGCACTGAGTTCTGGTATGTTGATCAAGGGTCGTAGCGCCGGAGGCTGACGGTTCGGCCTCGTTTCGGCAGACGCTGCAACGCCAGGAGGAGAAGTGGTGGCTGCCTGTGCCCCGTGTGCCCACCGGTGGTCTCGGTGATAATTCTAGAAAGCAATTGAACCACACTAGGGAGTGCACCAGTCAGATATTGAAAGCTGCTATGGTTATCACAGCATCACTCTGTCGGAAATCGAAGTTCCGTATTCGTACTTAGACACTCTTCCGAAGGTCCAAAAATTCCGACTAGTCCGATGTGTTGTCGTGTTTTATGTTCATGAACTGTGTTTGATCTATCTCTAAATGTTGCTGCAGAATGGTAGAGCTTGTCTTGTAGACCTGATTTATAGGTACATTACCTCAGATCAGTTCTCGGCTGAGTGTCTGCTCGATTTCCTTGACCTATCGTCGGAGCATGTTGCTCTCGAGATTGCGAACCGCGTCGAAGCCGCAATATATGTGTGGCGTCGAAGATCTATTCGAAGCCCCCGATTAATCCGAACCGATCCACTACGAAATCGTCATGGGAAATGGTGAAGGACCTTATGGTTGATGGAGACAAGAGGGAGTTTCTAGCAGAAAGAGCTGAAAGTCTATTGCTTTGCTTGAAGCAACGGTTCCCGGCTTTGACTCAAACTACATTGGATACCAGCAAAATCCAGTGCAACAAGGTCCGAAATTCGAAATCCGAAAGCTACTTCATTGTTATACCTTTCAATGTTACTTAATTCTATACCTTGTTTTCGAACACGCAGGATGTCGGGAAGTCCATTCTCGAAAGCTATTCACGAGTTCTCGAAAGCCTGGCATACAACATCGTTGCACGCATCGACGATTTGTTATACGTCGATGACTTAACGAGGCATTCGGATAGGCTGTCATCGGTTCCTACCATTAGCGTAATCGCACACAAAAAGGTTTCCATCCCTTATTCGGTACCAGTCTTGAACACTCCCTACAAAACATCTATCGCCTCGACCCCGAGCTTTTCAACCGCGCCACTGATCAGCCCTGCAGGGGGAGAAAGAACTCCTTTTCTCAAGGAGAACAACAACAGCAACAGCAACAATAACAACAACAACATCATCAAGCCTCATCGCCGAGGCTTCGGAGTGAAGAGGGTCTTGACAAATTATCTCGGAGGTGACTCGAAGCTGAAGATATGCAGTAATCCAACTACAGATACTTCATCAATCCTGAAGAACTCTACTAACAATTCAGAGAAATCAGGGAATCAAAAGGCTCATCAAATTACATCGAAACAGTCGTCGGCATACCAGAACGGGACCGAAATGCGACAAAATCCTCCGCAATATACCGTCACTTGAGTAGATTTTTTATGACAGTAAACTACTGGTTGTAGTAAGATCATGTGTATGAGTTATATTTATTATATATTTTTTGGTTGTGTTCTTCATTCTCGTAAGTTAATTTGAACAAAACAGCCTACGTCTTTTTTCATAGGGGTGTTAATCAGAGTAGTTCGAACCCGTAATTGTACCATTTGTGTTGCGGTATCGGGATCGTTTCGTATAGGTTTAATACTTTAGGTACCAAAGTGGAAAAAAGTTATACTTTAGGGTCCAAACTATATATATATATGATATTGACTAATTGAGTGTTGTGTGCTTGTATATGTTAAGTGTAAAACGGAGGGTCTCATTAAAAATCCCTTCTAGTCCTCATAAGGGGAAAAAGAAATTCTATTTAAACATTATTTGATGTATATTATAGATAAACGAGTTGAAAAAACAAAACTACCGAATAGTGCTCAGGTAGCCAAAGTATGTGCT